GGCCCCCCCCCCAACCTCCCCACTCTGCCCGTTGCGTTGGTCTAAATCCTCGAGGCAGAGAGAAAGGAACCAGAGTGATGGACAGCTACCTGTGGCGCTGCCAGGTGGCCTCGGTCACGTGGGTTCGTGACGTAAGGGGTGAAAGAATCTTGAGGTCATGGGGCTTCCCCTGACCTAGATTCTATCTCTCCGTCACCGGCAGAATGGCTGATTAATGCCTACAGTTCAAAATAGTCATTTTGACTGACCGGAGTCTATGAACTATGTGAATAGGCGGGTTCGAAGAACCCTTGCCTAAGTTCAGATCAGATCACCTGGAAACGAGACGGTTTTACCGAATAATATATTTTTTAGCCAAAATTGACCATACTTTAGGAAAGTAACGATTATTTGAATGTATAGTCTGTCTTTATAGATTTTCGTAATTTTCTTGAATGTATAATTAAGAAAATAGAACGACTTTTACCGGAACGCAGCAATTTTTCTTTGATAGTGACTTGATTTTTCTGGGATAGTTCACGTCGCCATGTTTACAACAAAGCTGGTCTTGTGTTATTAACTTTTGCCGATCATATATTAAAATGTCTATGAAAATATGATACATCAGATCTCGAAATAGTACTGACGCGATGTTTTGATTTTGTACATGTGTGTCGCAATGTCGTGTTGAAAGAACGCTTATTACTTACTTCCACCTGATTTATTTCCACTGCTATTTAGTTTGATCTTCAACTGAATTTTATACTTTCTTTTTTATTGTTACCCGGGCCTGTTTTATGAATGTTTGTGGGCCCACAGGAATCACTAATGTAAGGAAAATATGAAACTTTGGTGCATGTCTCGTGAGGTCGTGCGTTTTTGCGTGACTTCCTGGACATTTTCTTATCTTAGCTTAAAACTCAAATCGCAAAAGTAAACACGAGACACGCATTCCGGTAATGCAATGGAAACATTAATTCTAAGAAAGTATTTAAAAAAAAAACATTAAAAGCAGATCATCATCATTTCCCTGTGTGTTAAAATGTAACATCACAGCCATCCATAAATATGACCGGAAGATTCTGAATTTGTATTTAATTATTTATATTATATACATTTTATCTGTTTAAATTTATTAATCATTTGTTTTTGTTTTTTTTTCAAAAGTTTTGGTTATAGCAAAAACCCTCAAAGCGATACTTTAGGTAATTAAAATAATAAAATCAACAACAAAAATCTACAAAATAATAAACAGTACATCATATTTTAATAAAATTGAGCACTCTGATATCAGTCATTCATAGTGGTAGATGGTTGAATTGTCACTAACATATTACTGTGCTTTAATGTAAAACATAGACAAGGTGTACTTTGTCTGCCACTTCAATTCTACTCTGTTTATGTCTGCAGCCGGTCTTCATGCATTCAAAAAACACAAGAGACTTGCTGTCAGTGACACTGGAGAATCCGACAATACTGTAATAGGAAAAACAGATTTTGTATTTGCTCTAAAAGAAATCAAGCCAAGTGCAATGAGAGAGATTACTATTGATGTCCCAAAGGTAAGTATACATGTCTGTTGTACACACAATAAGAGGAAACAAAAAAGAATGATTAATTGTTAGAATGACCCAACAAGTGGCACAGTGGGATAAATGCCAAAGCTTGCCTAAAGCTGTATTCAAACATTCAGACGCAGTTCGAAAACGAGGACCTATAAATTGACCTCTGTGTGTCAGTGCATCCGTGTGTGTGTGTGTGTATGGTTTATTATGAATCCATTGCTATGAAACGCTATGAAGCCACCCAAAATTATGAAGCCACATACCCTGGCTTCACAATGTTTCATAAATTATACTGTGGAATACTTTATTTTTGCTGGAATTAAAAGTTTCGCTGAAAATGCTTTTTGGGCATTTTGTGTGGAATTTATTTTCACTGATCTTTGTTGAGTTTAATGTGAAATATAGGAAAAAAAGTATATTCGCTGGATTTTATTTTCACGGAATCATCCCTTCAGCAAAAATTAATTCCAAGTGAAAATAAAGTATTTTACAGTATTAATATTTAATCGAATTTAAGTCAAGTTTGGGAAGCCTAGGTTTATTAAAAGGGAAAGATATGGTTCAATTTATATTAATATTAATATAATTGTACCATACCTTCCCCCGTTACTAAACCTAAGCTTCGCAAACATTTCTATGTTCAGTCACGTGATATTCAACTTTTATTTAATTAAACTTAATTAAAACGCAATTCTACATTGTAAAGTATTGTAATTGAGTTTAATTAAACTCCAATTAAAACGCAACCCTATATAGGAACGTGTTTTAATGAAGTTCATATCGCAACTATATTAAAAGTTAATTCAATGTATGGCGTCACAACTACGGTTGCACCTGTATGTATGTATGTGTGTGTGTGTGCGTGCGTGCGTGCGTGCGTGTGTGTGTGTGTGTGTGTGTGTGGGTGTGTGTGCATGTGTTTGGACCTGTATCTTAGACATGCCTGGACCAATTACATTCAAACTATACACATACATCATAAATAATGTTATAAATATGCACATCAATTTGTTTCACGCTGATTCAAAATGGCCGAATGGCAGCCATTTTTCGACAAGCACTTGTTTGACGATCAGATACAATGTCAATCATTTTAATGTTAAACAATCATCATGGCATGGTTATATCCCAACTATACTACTACTGCTAACAAAACTATATATCTTAAATTGGATAACTAACAGGGACTGTGCAATGCATGGCTTGTTTAATATATTCCTTACTCCACAAATCCATATTTACACCAAATTACTAAATGCTCGCAAAATAATCCACAATTTGATTGCAGGTTCTTTGGACTGACATTGGTGGACAGGCTATAATCAAACAGAAGCTTAGACAAGCAGTTGAATGGCCATTACGTCATCCTGAAGTATTCCATCGTATGGGAATAGAACCACCGCAAGGTGTCCTGCTGTATGGACCACCAGGATGTTCCAAGACTATGATAGTCAAGGCATTGGCCACAGAAACACAACTTAATTTTATTGCAGTGAAGGTACGTAATGAAACTTTAAATGTTTTTTCAAATATTCTGCCATCTGGTGAATATGGCATAATCATTCTATATTTGGAATTCACATCTCCAAATAAGGGTAGTGTGTAACTATACCCTGTGGAATGTTGCAAAAGTGCTGTAAGCTATGTAGAGATATCCAACAAATGTGTACTAGGATTTCTAAGATTAGGGGACGCAAGTGGTGTGACATGTAATGAAAATCTCTCATGAATTCTCGAGGCAGACATTTTCATCACCTGGCAACCATCAGTGTATGATGAAAACAAAGGTTGTCAACTCAGTAAACTCTGTTTTTGGCCAGTTGTTGAGATTCTCCCGAACAGTGGATCTCGATTACACCTACACCTACATGTGCAACTGTTATGAATTTGGTTGTTCATGATTAGTTGAGTTTGTGCTGCTTTCTGGCTCTTCAATCGGCGTTCCACACAAGCTTGCACAGATTACTGTGAAATCTGTATTAGAAGCCGTGGCTTCTATTGAAGTGGTTCAATGCAACAGAAGGGATGTGGCTTCTATTAGAACACCTACACATATGAAAAATGATGAATTTATGGTTCCAAATTGTTCAAAAGAATAGGTGTGACTTCTATTAGGGATGTGGCTTCTATTACAGATTTTACAGTAATACCTAGAAATGCATGGTACAGTATACAGAGTGGTCTGTGACGTAGCTCCACCTTTGAGAATTGAATAAGACACACAAATTATCTGATGATCACACAATCGCAATACAGATGTACATTGCGAATACAAATGATTGATTTAGTCTCAGATCACTTTTGAGATTCAGTGAAAGAACTGTTTGTCATTATTGTCAGTTTGCGTAATCTAGCCTTGTTAAACTCTTGGCATACATGCAACAATGAAGACTGACTATAAACACTGAAATAACAAAAATTATGGTTTTTGATAAAACAAATAAACTGCTAAATAAACACCTTCTAAGAAATTAGCATGAAAAAATGTGAATTATTTAGGGAAAGTAAATAATCTAAATGACAAATGCAAAGCAGCAATGTTAAGTGTGAAGTGCAAGAGACAGAAAACTTTATACCCTTTGAAAGATGAACTGGGATTTAAATATGAAAATATAAGTTGCCCTTTTTGACAAAATTATTCACCCAATTTTGTTTTATGGTAGTGAAATCTGGAGACATGAAAGTTGCATACCCTTAACTTATAAATTTTGTTTATAGTTTAATGGCATTTATATTTACTTCTGATTTCCATCTTGAATTTGAGTGGTAAACCCATATTTACATGGTGATTATGAAAATTCAGATGAAAAATGAATGGCAAAGTATGTTGTGATCTACCATATGGTGCTTTATCAACTAGATTTTATTTCTATACAACAGTTGCATGTCATTAATGGGGATAAAACAAACATTTTATCTGACTACTAAAGTACATTAAAATATTTGATTTTCCTAGTCATGTTCGATTATTGTACGATTATTCCATTTCATTTTAGGGTCCTGAGCTGTTCAGTAAATGGGTGGGTGAATCTGAGAGAGCTGTACGTGAAGTATTCCGTAAAGCCAGAGCTGCATCCCCCGCAATAGTATTCTTTGATGAGATTGATGCTTTGGCATCATCAAGAGGAGGGTAATAATATCAAATGAATTACATGACGAAGAGTGGTATCATAATGTATAATTAATCAATTATTAAGACTGAACAAATTCAAATTTGTTTCTTTTGGCGAAAACCAAAACATGGTTTACAATGAAAAGTATTTGATACATATTTATTCTAGGCATTGCATTAATGAAACACAGAATATATGTGCTTCAATTCTTTTGTTTTTTTCCAGTTCTTCAGGCAGTGGCCAAGTTACTGACAGAGTCCTTGCACAATTGCTGACAGAATTGGATGGAATAGAGAAGTTGACTGATGTCACCATAGTAGCAGCTACCAATAGACCTGATGTGATAGATAAAGTATGTATAATTCTAAATGTTAGTTTTGTTTGCATTTTTATGTTAGAGTTATGTTTGTCAAGGGTGTACATGTTATTGCTCAAGGCACAATCTACATGCATGAAGCTGTTTACCATAAGTGTACTCATAGTCAGCCGAGTAGGCTACAAGTGATAATAAATTAAGTGAAACAAATTTACCGTTTACTATATGGAGCAGCCATCTTAAATCTTAAATCACTACCCTTAAAACACAAAACATTTATTTAAGCCATCCAGTTCATTTTACTTTGCTGAGGGCTTCACTTTCAGGCATAGGATGATGAATCAACTATAAATGTCAAATCACCATTTGAATAAACTCTTACATCTAATTCTCAGTAATTTGAATACAAACAGGAATGTCTTTGGAACGTTTTCTCCGTGATTCACGCATTGCATCATCGAAAAAGGTTGACATAGTAGACATTTGCATAACACTATCGGCAAACTGAAAATTGAAAAAGTGTGTTTTATCAGGTTAACATTGTTAGAAGTTGTCTATAATATGCTGAAATAATTAACCATTTTATGTTTACTGCAAGATCCCTTGTTATGCAAGTAATCAAATGTAAAAACAGGACAAACAAAGGTCATAGCATCGTAGTGGCGACAAACATTGCCGGGGATTCAACAAATGCGACAGTATTTTTGGGATATTTCCATGCTTAATAATGTGCTGTACACATTTGATGATGATCAACTTCGATGAAGTAAGGGTATATTCCCCTGTCAAAAATCGGTCTTACGATGTGAGTGAAATAAAGAAATTCAAGTTCAAAATCAAAACGCAGAAGTTCGACATGCGTCTTTCATGCCACTCGCAGTTGAATGGAAAATCACTTAGAGTTCCACTCAGCCGCTAAAAATTGTGAAACAAAAATAAGCCCACCATAGAATTAAAATGTAATAAAAGTTGCATATTAAGTTACAAAAAATGTAGTTATCCTGTAACTAGTTAGTAGTTATCCTGTAACTAACACATTATCAAACAAGATGATAAATAAATAAACAGCAAATAGTTTCCATTTCAGTCGAGTGACGGTAGTCAGAATTGTATTTAATTTAATAGTTTGACATGGAAAAGACGTTGAAAACTGCATTTGTTTAATTTTTTTTGATGAAAATACACAATGTACAATGGTAGACTGATGGTTCATTGCATCTTCATTTGCTATTTGCTACTTTGTGAAGTTCGTATTGTAGATCACAAATAGTGACGAAAGTTTAGAAAATCATGTGGTTACTGCTGAATCAATCAGGAGCACTGTATTTGAGATACTGAGAATTAACTAACATGTGCATAGAAATATACTTTTACTGTAACAGTAAAATCTTACTAGATCTATCTCTCTTTCTTGACAGGCTTTGCTGAGACCAGGCAGAATAGACCGAATATTGTATGTGCCACTGCCAGATGAGCAAACCCGCAGAGAAATACTCCAGATACAGTTTCGGAAGATGCCTATTGGCAGCGATGTTAGTCTGGAGAGTTTAGTTGGCAACACTGGAAGGTATTCAGGAGCAGAAGTATGTATTATATGCCATAGTCATACAATGTACAGTGTTCAGGATTGACATATCCCAGTCTACAGACATAGACATTATATGGCATAGGTGTACAATGTACAGTGTTCAGGATTGACATATCTCAGTCTACAGACATAGACATTATATGGAATAGGTGTACAATGTACAGTGTTTAGGATTGACATATCCCAGTCTACAGACATAGACATTATATGGCATAGGTGTACAATGTACAGTGTTCAGAATTGACATATTCCAGTCTATAGACATTATATGGCATAGGTGTACAATGTACAGTGTTCAGGATTGACATATCTCAGTCTACAGACATAGACATTATATGGAATAGGTGTACAATGTACAGTGTTTAGGATTGACATATCCCAGTCTACAGACATAGACATTATATGGCATAGGTGTACAATGTACAGTGTTCAGAATTGACATATTCCAGTCTATAGACATTATATGGCATAGGTGTACAATGTACAGTGTTTAGGATTGACATATTCCAGTCTATAGACATTATATGGCATAGGTGTACAGTGTTTAGGATTGACATATCTCAGTCTACAGACATAGACATTATATGGAATAGGTGTACAATGTACAGTGTTTAGGATTGACATATCCCAGTCTACAGACATAGACATTATATGGCATAGGTGTACAATGTACAGTGTTCAGAATTGACATATTCCAGTCTATAGACATTATATGGCATAGGTGTACAATGTACAGTGTTCAGAATTGACATATTCCAGTCTATAGACATTATATGGCATAGGTGTACAGTGTTTAGGATTGACATATCCTAGTCTACAGACATAGACATTATATGGCATAGGTGTACAATGTACAGTGTTTAGGATTGACATATCCCAGTCTACAGACATAGACATTATATGGCATAGGTGTACAATGTACAGTGTTCAGAATTGACATATTCCAGTCTATAGAC